TCAACCTCTTGATCACTTGCCATACTTGGTGCGCATGCAAAGGCTGCAACTCTTTGGCATGTTCCTGTCCTTTGTACACCAATGCTTGCAGAGTTCGCGGCTCACTGGGTTGCTCTTTTTGTTGCCAAATGCTGCTCCACTGTTGGATGCGTTTTTCCATCCTTTCTGCTCTGGGATATTGTTGGAAAGGTCTGGCATAGGGCAATTCATCCTTCTTGAGCGTTCTGTACAGGCCTCGACAACCTTTCTGACTTGCCGCATTCATCCAATTTCTGTACTCTTGCGTTTCTGTCTGGAAAACCGTGTCCTGATGCAACGACCATTGGGATTTGACAAATTTCAACAGGACTCTGATGTGTTCATTGTCATGTTCTCCCCACAACAGATTGTACAGCGTCATGAAGCCCTCAAGGGTGACCGAATCATCCGGGTGCCAATGTTGTGGGACGTGCCATCCCAACTTCTCCAGATGATGCAGATCCGCTTCAGCCTTGTTGTGTCTGTGCAGGTGTTGTTGCAATCGGAGTTCAATCTGAGACCAAAAGGCCAAAACTCCTTTCCGCCAGAGCCAGGGTTTGCTCGGATCAACCAAGGGCTTCTGCACATACTGGAGGTTTGTGCCCCGGCCAAGCGTAGGTTTGTCCAAATTTTGTAGGACATAGCGCTCTATCCTGCTGTACAACTGGCCAGCTTTCTGACTGAGGTTGTTGGTACTCAAATCTAACCAGGTCACTGCCACATCTGCAGGTTGCACTTGAGTCCATTCAGTTTTGATCTGTTGCAGTTTCGGTGCAGGCTGATATCTCTGTATCTGTTGTACCGTCATGCTCTGCAATTCTTTGGCCAAATGAATATGCAGCTGAGCATGAGGTTTGAATGGAACAATCCAGTCAGCAGAGATCGACGTGTCAGCAATCAAGTTTGTTGAGACCAATGCCCAGTCGAGTTCTCGTCCTGTTAGGCAAGTGTCTTCCCCAGTTGCCAGCATGCTAACCTGCATCACCGAACTCATAGTGGTTGCCATGAACTCTTCAGGAGTTGTGTTGAAATCGCCAACAACAATCACCGGCTTAGCAAGGCCAGTGACAAAGGTCATGAGCCCTGACCACAGCAATGTATTGGTCTGTCCTTGAATGCCTTCACCGCATTTGAAGTAGGCCATCACAACGACCAATGCAAAATTGTCAAAGGACCAATGCACGGCGTACCATCCACAGCCATCAATCAACTGCTTCTGGACATAGTGGATGTGCAGGTGTGCAGGATACAGTAGGATCATGCCTCCATGCGTGCCTCCTTTGGGGCTGATCGCAGCTGCTTGGCCCAATACTCCAAAACCACGTGTAGCAAACCACTGCATGGTCTTGTCATGATCATCCGGACTAAGATGCGTTTCCACAAGGAATGTTGGTTCCGCTCTCGGCCTACAAGCCATTGCCGTACCTGCTGTCCAAGCTGTGTGACATTGGCAAAAGAGAAACCCGTGCCGGCAAGGCATCTCCTCTTGGGGTGTTGCTGGATGTCTGACTCTGGCAGTGACAGCGGGATGTCACTGGGGATGTCTGTGGGCAAGATGTTGGTAGAAGGTACCGCCCACACTTGAACAATCTGCATTCTCATGGTGTCGTGCATACACTGAATCGGCCGTGGAAAAGACTCATCATCAACCAACCAAAGGAGTCCTCTGTAGCAGAAAACAGCATAAAAGTTGCCGCTTTTGTGTGCTGTTCCTGAATGACAGAGAAAGCCAACTACTGAAAATTGTTCAGTTTTCGTGGTGTTGCCATCTTGTGTGACCGGCAAATTGAAAACTGAAGGAACTTTGAGGATCTGATGGTGTTTGGTCCACTCTCCATCTGTGAAAGAATAGCGGCCAATTTGGGCCACCCAAAGCCCTGTGCCATCCAACGCCTGCCCTTCAGCGGTATTGGCCCATTGATTGATGAGCTCTTCAAACTCGTGAGTATATATATATATATGTATATAGAGTATACAGTATATATATATATGTATATATATATTTAGGAGATATGTACATATCTCTGGATTTGGGTTTGACCATGAACAGCCAAATAGCCTTTCTGACAGATCCAAAAGCCACTGGGTTCCTTTCTCAAGCAAGATGTCTTCAATCAGTGCACGTCGAGACCAGGCTTTGCCTCAAGTGAGACGTCGGGATCAGCATCTTCGGTGTGCATCAAGATCTAGGATAGGGAGAATAGCGAATGAATGAATTAATTCTACTAGCTTCTTGTTACTACTAGTAAGGCACCTGTTACTACTAGCGTGGCACTTGTTACTAGTAGCTTCTTGTAAGAATTCTTCTTCTTTGATGTATATTTTCCAAGATGGTCATCGCCAAGTCACATTCACCATACGGGACCCTCGCATTTTTTGAGCGGGCTGTTGCACGAGGTTTCTGTTGGGATGCTCATGGAGACGTACATGTTCAATATGATATATAAGCATTTCAATATTTCTTTGCGTTTGTGCTCCCTGCTTTGTGTTTGTCATTTTCACTCGGCTGAGGTATTATTATCTTCTCAAAAACCTGCTGACCTTCCACTGGGACACCAGCACTTGTTTAATACACTGGTTTTCATGCTCTTTCCAATTGCTATCAGCAATTGCAAGTGGTGTCTCTTTCGCATGTCGGCAAGTTTATTTGCGTTGGCCTTAGGAATAACTCAGCAGCTGTGCAAACAAAATAAAAGAGAAGATGCTCTCAAGTGAATCTAAGGATCACTGCTGCCCTTCCCAGATGATTTTGTCATCGACCTTGCAACGGGACACTCAACGGTGTCAGGTGGGAGATAATTTGCGCAGCCTTTTTCATAGGCTTTTGTGCAGTATTATGGATGGGTGAGCAATAGCAGGTGTGGCGCTGTATTCTGCAGCAAATCTTGGTGAAGAAGGGTGCTTTTCTGTGGGTGACTTGTCCTTGCGAACACGGGCAGGCCTGTGACAGGAGTTTTGTTGGAAGTACAGAGCAAGGTAGGAAATCGAGATTTAAGATTTCGAGATCACCAAGCCAGGGTTCTTGTTTTCGAACTTTTTTCCAAAGTGCTCAGCAAAGGCAACATTCAGTTGCCAGGAACTGTCGAGGTGCTTTATTTAAACTGTCCAGGACTACGCCCTTTTCATGAGTTTCCAGCATTTCTTGACTTTCAACTATTGACACAGCTTTTGACTATGGAGGGCCAGTTCACTAAATAGAAGGCTTCCAAACCGCCCGCCAGCTTGCATGCTGGCGGCCATCCATTCCTCCCGAACGCAGGAAAACAGACGAATCACGATCCCACACAATGCTACATCCAAGGTCATCAATCCTTTACCCTATTTGGGCCGCACCATGATGGTCGTCGGCCTGGACACCGCGAAGGAGCGACGAGTACGCCGGATGTTTAAGGAAGTGGGTGGAAGCCGTGGAGGCGAACCTAGTAATTCCAAGCTACTAGTAGCGTCCTTGCTCCTAGTAGCGATGCCCTTTGTTGCAAAGTTCCTAGTAGCTTCTTGCTACTGGTAGGGATGGCCTCCACCCTAGTAGCTTCTTGCTACTTTAAGAAGGTATGATCCCAAAAGACACACTTGGTCCCTTCAAACATCACATGATCATACATGCTCCATGTACCAGGTACCAGCGCTCATGTTTTGGCTGCCTCCCGTCGCGGAGGGTACCCACTTTCGAAAGGCCCTTCGTCCCAGGCTTCCCCAACCTTCATCCGTCTTTCGTCTCTTTCGCATCCTTTCGCCGTGATTTTAGCCCACACATTACACTCACCACACATGCTCTGCCTCTATACTACATCTGCATTTCGCCTTGATACCTGAAAATGCACGTTTCATGGGTCATGATTTGTGGAAGGTTTTCGGGGGGTCAAATCTGCTGAGAGGGTCCACACTTTCGTTTTCGGCGCTTTCGCCGCAACGACATACCAGTTTCAAAGGACGGCAAGAGTCAAAGCTTGTCCCAGGGCTATTGCAACAAGTTTTTCGATACGTCAATCTATAGCACACGTCTCACTGCTTTTACTGTAGTATGGTTGAGTCACCTTTATGGTTCATGAAATGAAGGTGAAGGTGAGGCTCATGAAGCGAAGATGAAGATGAAGTTCCTGAAGCGAAGATGAAGATGCAGTGCATGAAACGGGGATGAAGATGAAGTTCATGAAACGACTGTAAACATTAAATTCAAACCCGATTCAGAAAATGAAGATGCAGATATACAATCGGCATGAAACGAAAATGAAGATGACGAGCATGAAACAACAACAAAGAATATATTCATGAAGAAAAGATGCCATGTTGACGCTGATGATCCAACCGGCGTCACTACCCTCCACCCAACTCCCAAATCCCCAGACAGAACGCCTGGCTGCTGTGTGGTGGTGTGGTGACACACCACAATGCTACAGTACATCAGTAGAAGGTCCAAAAGCGGCAAAAGTCAAAAGGGCCCAAAACAACAACAGATCAACAACAAGAGAGCAAGAAAGAAGAAGAATAACAATAATAATAATAAGAAGAATAAGACGAAGAAGAAGAGGAAGAGGAAGAGGAAGAGGAAGAGGAAGAAGAAGAGGAATAGGAAGAGGAAGAGGAAGAAGAAGAGGAAGAGGAAGAGGATGAAGAGGAGGAAGAAGAGGAAGAGGAAGAGGAAGAGGATGAAGAGGAAGAGGAAGAAGAGGAAAAGGAAGAGGAAGAAGAAGAGGAAGAAGAGGAAGAGGAAGAGGAAGAAGAGGAAGAAGAAGAGGAAGAACAACAGGAAGAAGAGGAGGAAGAAGAGGAGGAAGAAGAAGAAGAGGAAGAGGAAGAAGAAGAGGA